TCCTGCTGAGCTTTCGCTCTTTCCTCCTTTCTACGAAGTTGTTCCAAAGCCCTTGCCTCACGTGCTGCACTTGATGCTTTTCGTTCTTCTTCCCTCCTAACTAGAGCCTCTTCCTTTCTCCTCTGTGTCTCAGCAAGACGCTGCAACTTTTCAGCTTCAATGAGTTTCCTCCGTTCTAATACAGCTTCTTCTCTTGCCATGTCTTCTTTTTGTTTAGATTTCATTACCTGAAGTTTCTCAGCTCTCCTCAACTCTGAATCATGAAGCTTTTGTCTCAACATAAGCTTCTTATTCTCCTCATTTAAGGAGGTAATGAAACGAACCTCATTAACTTTACTGCTCTCATCACCAGCTCTCTTCACAACTTGAGCAAGAAAAGCTTCGTGCCGAGACTCACTGCGTTGTTGTCGAGCGTACATTCCCTCTCGTAACTTCATGTTTCGAACAGCCTGCCATTCACTGACTCGATTTAACTTTTCCGAGGTTCTCTGAAGCTTTTGAACTCTCTCGTTCTCCAGCTCACCTCTGATTCTCATAGCCCTTGCATGCTTTTCTGCTGCCTCCCTCTTCAAATCCATAGCATTTTTCTTCTTCTTTTCAGGAGACATTAGCTTATCATGCAACATACGTGCACGCTCAGCACTTTTCCTGCTCATGCCTGGCGAATGCGAAACACGGGAAGAGACTCGAAAAGGAGATGCAAGTATGTCCTCCCAGTTCCTCTTCTCTTTCCATGCATCCATGGATTTCCAAGGAGCTGAATTTCTCTTTTCCTTTTCCTTATCTTGTTCAGACTGAGGGATTTGTCTCTTATAATGATCTGTCACCTTAAAATTTTTCTCAGAAACAACTCCGGCCAACGTCTTAGCTTTCTTCAGAAGAAGCTTCTCTGCTTCAGATCCAGGTTGTTCTCTCCTACTCTTTCCAACGGCAGCATTGTCCCTAGGAGGTAACTTAGATGTAATAACGTTTGAGGATGGAACCCGTGGAGAGACATCACCATTCTGCACAGCGTTTAATTTGCTGGAACCAACTAACTTAGCATTCTGCTGTTCACTACTCAGTTCCCCTATCAAACCTTGTCCATTGGATGTTTCATCACTTACTAACACCTTCTTAAGACTATCACCAGATTTGAGAAAGATTTTTGCATCATTATTATGACGTATGGCAGCTCTTTCTCGCTGAATTTTCTTAAAGGTTTCAAGAGATGAAGAAAGTATCTCTGCTTTGTGTGCTGATGTTGTCATTCTCCGGACCTGCAAATAATATTAATTGATGTTAAAGTATAAAACTATTGTTGGCCCACCTCCTAATAGCTTAAGCTTTCGGGATGGCTTGGTAAACTAACATGGTATCAGAGCGGGAGGTCCTGAGTTCAAACCCCCGTAATTACACTCTTTATCCCCATTTAAAATTGCCATCATGTGTTGGGTCTTTAATATATCTCGGGCTTAAATATTCCCGTGTTGGGCTTCCAATTAATTTACCCACACGATTGCCCATTGTCCAGCCCACACGTGAGGGGGAGTGTTAAAGTATAAAACTATTGTTGGCCCACCTCCTAACAGCTTAAGCTTTTGGGATGGATTGGTAAACTAACAATTGACTAATGTTGTTTATATTAGAGATGCAGGAAAATGAAGAAAGTGTTAACGTCTTCACTCCAAAATCTAATATGTGATGCAATAGATTAAATGCAAGCTAGCACATGCTCAAACCATTACATAATATTAGAACTTTAGTGGCGTGAAGTTTCATGTTGCAAACTAATTAGTAATTTTCATATGAAGATTCAATCATCTTAAAAAGGAGCCAAGAAAAGACATTCATAGACTAAGCACATTAAGATTGAATGGTTCGAACAAGATACAAAATCATAAATTTTCTCTATATAACCTCAAACTTGTTTTAGCAAGTTATTGATTTCACGGGATAGGGGGAAAAATAAGCAAACATATTCCTTGCAACTTAGTAATAAAACTAATAAAATCAAAACCAAGGGAAAAGGCCAAGTCAAAATTATAATGGGCAACTATAATGTATTATGCTATGTAAGCATCCCTAAGAATTCAGAAATAAAAGTATAAGGAACTTCTAACATAACAGCGCAAGCTCCACCATTCTTGTCTATAGACTTTGATTCCATAAACTATATGCATCAATTTAACATTTGAGTCTAATTTGTCAAACTGGAAAAAGGAAAATATGTTAGCATGATTACCTCCCATGACAAAGCATGTGGCCTGCGATGGTCACTCTTCAGATTGATTGGCGCCCCACTATTGAACTGAGAAGACAACCTTTTCAAGCTTTCAAACTCTTCCACTCTAATTGTTAGATCTTTAAAATCAAATGCAGCCTCTTCGAGAACAATAATGGCCTCTTTCATCTGCTCCATATCACATTCTAGTTCACAGAGAAGATAAAGCTCATCCACAGCCCTATTAAGATTCTCAAACAAAAAGCACCAAAGACGCTGCCTAAACCGCTCCTTGCTTTCAACCGTGTCACATTCTCCTAGGCTATTCACGTTCTGAGCGTTTGACATATTACCCTGTATGGTATCACCGTGTAGAACCACATTCTCTCCCATCGACGCCATGGGGGTAGGTTGTTCTTCGGAAATATTAGCTCCACTATTGCCAGCCTGGACTGACTCAGGATTGCTGTCAATAAGAACTGGTTTTCCTGAATCCCCTTCTGTCTTCGATGCTTCAAGAATTTCTCGATTGCCAACCTCAGTTGTAACTATAGGATCCTGAACTTTCACCACTATCTCAGTCTCCACACTAGATGAACTAGTAGCAGTTACACAATCATTAATTACTGATTTGACTTGTTCAATTTGGATATCATTGCAATTTGAAACATCAATGCCCCAATCAGTCGATTTTTCACTGGCAATCGATATTTCGACATTTTCATCAGATTTATGGTTATCTTCAAATTGTTGGTCCTTAGGAGATAGTGGATGCATCTGATCAGAAACAGGAATTCCAGGCGCAGGCACAGGTGCAGATGCAGCCCCTGATTTGTTTTCTTGAGAACTTGTACATGACAATGCACAAGAAACCAAATTCCTATCCTTTTCACTATCCCTACAAACAATCAAATTATCCTCTTCGATAGCACCGAACTTAATTCCAGCTCCAATAGCACTTTCAGGATGCTGCACTCCATTATCCTCTAACCGACTTCTATTACTATTGTGAACCACATCAGCCTCCTCTTTTTGAGGAACTTTCTCAACCAATTTATTTCCCTCACTTAAGTTTGCTACATCCGGAGGGGATGGCTTCAGACATTCAGGGTTTTGCTTAACAACACGATCATCAAAAAATCGCACATTTAGCTTGCCTTCATTTGACATGGTGGTAGCGGAATTCGTAATGCTTCTCTGACTATGAACAGCGTAATTCTCCCCTCCTTTCGGATGCTGGTATCTACGCTTGCCGTGGGAATTTCCATTGTTTTCACTTAATGAGGACTGACCACAAAAAGTGCTGGAAGCATTTCTTCCTGAAAATCCTCCAACCCAACTCTGTAGGGAGAACTTCGAGCTATTTCTATGTTTCTATCAAAAAGGAAAAAGAATGAAACAATATCATGGATAATTAGTTCCGTATATCACCTATTAGAAAAGTATAAGCTGCAATACAATTACTTCCATGTTAGAGAACTATTATTCTCCCATTCTACTATACATCAAAATAACAACTTAAAATCAATGCACCATTTTCATGATATATCAAGTTTTAGCCGATTCATTTCCTACAAAAATCAAGATTGATATTAATCAAAATTGAGACTTTTTGTTAGATATAACTAAAATAAAGGGAAAATACAGTCCACCCATGTAAGCCTAAAATCAAAGCATCTCATTTTCAAGAGAAAAACGCCACAATTCAGAATCTCTTTAGAAAGATTATTCCCAAAAAAAAAAAAAAAAAAAAATCATATATTTGCTTGATTTAAGGAACAAAAATTAGTCGATGAATAAAATTACACCTTTTTCACTTCGAACCATCCAGAGCCTTGATCATCCACTGCTTCTCCACTGTTCTCCATCCCCAAAACTTGATCAAACCAAAATCATCCTTCTCCAAACCCAGAAATTTCACATAACTTTAATTCCAACCATTAAAGGAAAAAAAATTATCTTTTTTATCAAAAGCTCCCAAAAAACAATATTATTCAACTTGCCCAACAAAATCCCGAATTTCCTATTCAGACGCATAGGAATATTGGTAAATTTCCAATAAATTGGATAAATAAATATAAAAAATAAGAAACAAACTCCGAGAAAGTGGCTATGTATATTTATATATATATATATATATATATATATATATACAGGGAAAATTGACAGCTCAAAGCTGAAAAATAACTTCGAGCAAACCAAATTCCCAACAGAATTGAGGATCGTATGATGTGAAGTTTCGTGTTACGAATCAAATTCGACGATGAATTAAAAAAAAATAATAATAAGATTTTTCTAGGGTTTTTTTTTTTTTTGGGAATTATTGTTTGTTGTTATTATTTTCGGGAAGAAATGAAAGGAAAGGAGGGAAGAGTAGTGAAGTGTGAATTTGTCAACATTTGTTTTGTTTGCGAGTAAAGAAGAAGAAGTTGGTAAAGGAGATGTTATGCTTTTACAAATTTGGCCTTGTGTTTTTACATAATTACATGTTTGTCCCATGAAGTTTTTGTTTTAACATGGGTCGGATTTGGTTCAAACAAACGGAGCGGCAATGGACCCACCGACAATGATATGGTTTTTTTTCTTTTAAAAAAAGAGAGATCGTTTTTAATATTTTGTGTTTTTTTATAATTTTAAAGTAGTATCCTAGGCGCGTCTTGATGAATAGTGGTTTTATACTTTTTTTTTTTTTTTACTCTCCACACCCTATAAAATTTTTAAATGATTAAATTTTCTTTTTACACACCCTTATTATTCTAAAATTATCTCAAATTATTTTCATAAAATGATTGAAAATGATTTTATTTACATCTTATTTTTCCTCTTCATACTCACTTCTTTACTCACCACACTTACTTTAATATTATCTTTTGTTTACATCTCTTGTTTTAATTTACTATCTTTTGTTTTTTCTTAATTAAATTTACTATCTTTTTGTTTTGTAACATGGAAAGGCATCTAGATAAGTCTTAGACATATTATTGGATCCTGATTGATGTATCTGGAAAATCCTCCCAAATCAATAAGAAAACTAAAAAGCATGCATGTGCAACTCCAGGTGAAAAACAAAAGAAAAACACAAATTAAAAAAAATCTTCTTACAAAAAATATCAAAGACAATTTAACATATCTCTATATAAATTTTTAGAAGAGTGATTGAATAGTAGAAATTAAGGTTTTGTTATGAATTTTAGATATAAGAATAATTTATAATTTACCAATATAATATGTGAGGTGTGTAAAGAGAAAAAAAACCTTTCTATCGCCGGTTTTCCTTTTATAATAAAATTTAATTATATAATTAAGTCTATTGTCTATTTATATCATTTTATTTAAGAGTTCTATTGTAATTAAAAAAAATTAATTAAAAATGAACATGGAGAGTAAAAAATATGTGCGTATAGAATTACCTTTTGATAAATCGTAATAGTACCTGAAACTCTTTTTTAAGACGTAAATTTACCCTTGTACTTAATTAATTAGAAACCAAAATTTTTAACATATTTTAAAAAATAAAAAGAAAATCTAAAAAACAAATCTCTCCCACTCTTCCTTCCTTTTCCTCTTTTGAAACAAACCAAAATTCACGGTCCTTTTCCAAACCCATAAAAATTTCAGCCCTTCTAAAACCAAGAAATCTAAAAACTTCCCCTTCCTTTTCAAACCCACTCGCTGCACTGCACCTCCTCCATCTCGGAGGCGAAGGGAAGCTCCAAAATTGGAGGAGGATTTTGTTGTTGAGAGTGTAGGAAGACGATGAGGATTTAGTCAGAGACGGAGAAGGGTATGAAGGAGGCAAAGGACGAGCGGGGGACCCTTGAATTTTGGGATTATCCTCTTAGTTACTGACCATGGCTAAGGCTATATTTGTTCCCCAACTCAAATTAAAACTTAAATGTTATAGTAAAAAAAAATTAAATTTAAATTTTTATAAGAAAAATATTTTAAAAAGAGATATTTGTCACTTGAGTTTTAAAAAGAATATGGCTTAAATTTTTTTCACCTGGATTTGAATTTGTTAAGAAGTTACCTTGAATTGGATTTGGAATCAGATATACCTTCTTACTCTTAGTATTTTTAAAAATATATATTTTTAATAATTTTGTGAAAAATAAATTATGAGTAAATTAAATATAAGGGAATATTTGATATTTTGAGTGTGTTTGAAACTCGTTTTAAAATGACTTTATTTTTATATGAAAATGAAAATAAAAACGTTTTCAATTTAAGATAGAAATCATTTTAAAAATGCGTTTGTTAGTTTTATCAAGAGATTATTTTCAGTATAAAAAAACTCATTAATGTATTTTTCTCTCTCTGCTCGAAATAGGAGAAAACAAAAATAAAAAATGAAAAATGACTTTTCATTTCTCTCTCATTTTACACTAAACCAAAAAATCGTTTTCATTTCCGCTTTTTTATCTTTAATTATATCAAACGCCGTTTTAATTTTATTTCCATTTTTTCTCAAAAAAAACGTGAAAAACAAAAATAAGAAAAATTCTAAACACGGCATTTATGTCTCAAAAAGGGTCTCTAGTTACTAAAAAATAACTTATTAAAAAGTCAGGATATCAATTCAAAATTATCAAAAACACAAGGTATTAAAAGTGTTGAGAATGGTGTCCTAGAGCATAAGATGTAATAGGATATTTATTATTTATTTAATAAAAGAGTTTATTCATCATTTTATGTGCATATATTTATGAATATTTTATGAATATCAATGAAAATTCCATGATTATTTATGTAACCTTAAACATTGTATATAAGTGTTATATACGAGAGGATAATGTTTAAGGATAATAATCAAAAAGTAATGTTCATAATGAATTTAATTAAAGTTTGGAATCTTTAATTAAAACATTATTAATACATGTCATTCCCATTTAGAATGGAACGGTGTTATCCGCACTATTAATATGGCGAGATATTGAATGAGTGTATTTCGTATAATGAGATTATGTGGAACAAGGACACAGACACAATATGAATTTCTAGTAATTCCGTTAAGTATATAAATTCTAATTGAGTCTACCGATGGTCATATATAGGATGATCTTAATTCTGAGTTCTTAACAGACTCCTATTTATGGATTCGTGTCTTTTGATTTACTCGGTACGGATTCTGAGA